ACAGTTGGCCTGGAACGGAGGTGTCCACATTAACCGGACTCCACTGTAATTGATGCCGAAACTCACACCAGTTCATGTGTTGCGCATAATAATTAATACACGAACTTATAAAATAGAAATAAATGAAAATTGTGGCAAATGGCTACCGCTGGGAGGGAGAATCCATGAAGTGTGCGAAACACAGCTTGACGCATCAAGATGGACACGAATGGGTGATAAAAAGGTATCGAGGTATCGTTACATCAATGCGACGGATGTTGGTCGTGCACTGTGGGATGTAGTCCAGATTGACACTTTCTCTTGGCTTGTAAATGTCAGAGAGAGACTGAATAGCAAAGGTCTGCTGCTTGTTGTCCATGAAGCGGTTGAAGGTTCGGGCCTCGAAGAAATGTAGATTGCAAGACGTTTACGACTAAAGGTGCTGTATATCGTTTCAGCAGGCGATAAAACTTTTTGAAAAGAAAGCCAATGGTTAGGTTCAATCATCAGGGAAAGCTGATCTTTGGGAGCGGGATGTGTAGCACGTTGTCCTCAGCTAGAGAAACCGTCATTCTTTCGAAAACAGTCAAAGCTTCACCAGTACGTTTGAGGTGATGTTTGTCACTAAACCGCATGTAAGTGAGCAGCAGTATGAGGTAGGCATGGTTCGGGACGACCTGGCGTAAGGCTGCGCAAATTACGTCAGATAATTAACTAAGGGAAGGCTAGATGCTGCACGTTTATGGGCGAAGACGGCAACAATCTTCTATAGTAGGGCATAATTGAACGACGCATTGATATAAAATCCGTCGTCGAAAGCACTGACGACGGAGCAAATGAAGGTTTTACGACACAAAGCCCCATTCAACATGGCTGATGTCAAACATGCGAGCATGATTGCACTTGCAGAATCGGTCAGAGGAGACAAAGACACTTATCGTCACTGTACCAGCCAACAGGAGGCGTTCCACCGTCGCATTTACAAGAAAAAAAAGACTCACCAAAGGATCAATGATTTAACTTGCCTTTTGATACCAACCCCCTTAAAAGGCTGATACATGGAAGTAATGCGATTCTGTTGGCATGCGAGAACTCGAGTGCAATAACGCCGACTAACGGCTTCAGAGAGAGGGTGCAAGAACGGTCGTGGCCCGCTACTATGGCCTTCCCCTCAAGGTGCTTCAAGGAGGCACTGCTTTGCCACTCATCTCCGATCTGCACCTTCCACAAACAAAATATATTCACAGAAGATGTATCCGAAAACACCTGGCTTTAGATACGTCCTCAGCCTTGTTTCTACGGCATGTGAATTCGCAGTGTTAGGTATTTGTAAGCGAACTGCATTAGGAATATCCCTTCAACGATTACAACAATCCACTTAAGTTTCTCCTACACTTTGGTAAAACGACACCTTAACTAAATCATAGAGAATATGAATAGCAAATGGAAGAAAGACGTACCACGGCCGCGGCCTCCAACGGATTAAATAAGACTAAAATTTCGTTGGCACTCAGCTAGCTCTGAATGCTAGTCCTGCACAGTTGAACTGATCACTCTCTTGGTGTCTCTCTTGCACATTTAAAACCGTGTCTTTTTTATTGATTTGCTAATCCATTCGGTCAGTTAAAGTTCAGCGTAGTGACCACGGCTCACTCGAATTGATTATCTGACATACTTTATTTCGAGGGAAAAAGTACTGGGGCATTAAATGTTCCGAATTTGTCTGAGTGCATATTTTATTCCGTTTGGGTAGTATGAGAACCAGTACGGATTAGAGGGGCTGTTATATGGTGTTAATGTGCACAATCCCTTACTGAAACCCGGGCAGTTAAATAGCCAGACGGTCAATGTGATCGAACAGACAATTTCGGCACCACTAACAGACGCTTGTGAAGAATGCGGTGACTAAAGCCTTAGTGATTGTGTGGCTATACAACAACCACAAACAGTCCACCGCCCATTATACACCTCAGCGCGCTCTACAAAGACTGACAATTTTCTGGTTACACAAAGCACCAGGCTTTATGTGCAAAGATTCATCGTATGAGGACACTAGGCAAAATTTGATTTGGTAGCCAACC